ATGAAATTAAACCGATTTGAAAAATCAAAGTTTATTTTTCATTGCAATGATGACAGACAGCATCTAGAAAACTGTATCGATTAGTTGTTCCTTTCAAAGGAATATCTTTGTTAAAAAAGTATAATCCTCATAAACCAAAAAAGTAGGGTTACAAGTTTTATATCTTAGCTAGAGTTAATGGACTAGTTTATAATTTTGAGATAAGTTTCGGTTCAATTGATATTTTTATAGAAAAACCTGATTTATAAGCATCTGGAAATATTGTGATTTTAGTTTATGTACCAAGGCAAAAACGGCACAAGCTATTTTTTGACAATTGATACACTGGGTTTGAGTTGGTGAAAACACTTTATTACCAAGGCATGGAAAATTTCGAACAATGAGGTATTCAAGTTTTAAGATGCCTACTGATGGTGAATTAAAAGAGAAGTTAGAGGATTAACAGCCATTAGGGTTTCCACAGTAAATAATGTTGAGCTTCGCGTTTGGTTCAGCAACAGCGGCATTGTCAATATGTTATCAGTCGCATCCAATAACAATTGTCGTGATAGACCATCTGTGTTACCACATACAATACATATATGGGTGGAGTAAACTTTTTTAACGTAATGTTGAGTCTGTACAGTCTGTACATCTAAAAAGTGGTATTTTAAATTAATTTGGCATTTCTTTGATTTGATTGTAGTACAACCATGGATACTTTACTATAGGAATATGAAAACGTCACATGCTTTAAATAAAGATATTTTTCAATTGCGCATATTTAAGCTGAAAGTTACAAAATGCTTAGTTCAGTCTGAAAAGGTTTTAGGCAGTGAAGAGAAAGACTATTTACTTCTGTTGACCACCTTCATAGATTAAAGAGAAGGAGGGATTTTGTTGCAAATATACCTTAGTCATCCACTAGGAAGGAAATTATTGATAATTGATCTTTCTTTTGTCGACAAAAAAGGACGTTGTAAGTACCCAAGCTGCACTGGAATAACAAACGTTTTTTGTGAAAGGTGTAAAGTTCAATTATGCTTTACATCTAATTAAAATTGTTTTTTAAAGTCTCTTGAGTAATCCTTGACAACTAAACTCTGTAATATTCGTTCTTAACTTGTTTTTATTTACAGTTTGTTGATATTGAAATAATGGTTAAGCTGAAGTTTTTTGGATTTCTTGCTTTGACCAAAAACTAAATGTTAAGTAAATTTGTTTTTTAATTACAATTATTCTGTTGTTATTTGTACTTTGGAATTGTTAAAACTTTGTGGTCAGTTTCTGATATTATGTTCTTCGGAAAAATTATGCTTTAAAAATTTTTTTTTTTTGAATTTACTTAATTGAAGTTAACATTATTAATTTAAACATTATACATTTTAAACATTAATGTTTAAAAGACGTTTAAAAGACATTTAAAATACATTTAGATCGTAACTTTTAAAAACAATTGCCCGTTGGGGAGGTGAAAATGTTTTTTGAATTATTTTTTGCTTTCTTAGACCTTAAATAATATTTTATTAGGATTTTTAAACTTTTCAACCATTTGTGAAATAAATCTTACACTATAGAGTTATTGTTGCGTAATTTAGAGGAGAGGAGGTCAATACAACGTGATGAATTATTACTAGGGAAGTACGGGAAGAATAGGTGTTCGAAATTTAAAAAAGTTAAAAATTGAGTGACGTAACTATGGTAGAAACTTAATGGCTAATTAATGGCTTTGCATGCTCAAATTTATTTTTCCCGTATATAGTTATGCAAGCATGTTTTTGTGCTCTATTTAATAATACTAATTGGGTTGTGTGTTAGCCCACGCAATGTTACCATGATTAAAATAGCAATGAATAAGGCTAAAGTATAGAATTTATGAATAAAGGCTAAAGTAGCAAGAAAGTGAGTTTGCGAATACTAGAAAAATATTTAAATGCTTATTACACTGTTATTTTTAAATAAAATTAAACCATACCCATACTGACAAATGTGCAGGTATTCATATTTTACAATAAAGAAAAAAAAATTCAATTTTTTTGAATTTTGTTTTGATGGCGATTACTAGTTAGGGGGTTACTTTGCTTCAAGTGTTTGCACCACTACTATACGCTTACCTTTTCATATTCATTCACTAAGTCATTGTGAGTTTAGCGGACAATGGAAAATATATAACTGCTTATAACACGGTTGTTTTTAAATAAAATTAAACCATACCCATACTGAAAAGTGTGCAAGTTTTCATATTTTAAAATAAAGAAAAAAAATTATTTTTTTGGTGGCATTAATAGCCAGGGGGTTGTTTTACTTTTAGTGTTCTTCGTCACAACCCATACGCCAACCTTTTCAAATTCATCTACTAATTCTTTGTTTATGATATATTTCTGCATCCTAATAAGAGTCTGAAAAAAAAGTAATTTTTCTAATGCTTACCTAAAGTTTGTCATTATGCATTAAGGATTTTTAGGCAAAGTTCTTTTGCAATGGATCCTATACTTTTATTTGTAAAGTTAAAGTCAAGTTTTAGTCAGGTATAAAGAGATCAGATTTTTTTTAGTTTCGATTTCTACATTTTCATTCAAGTTTTAGCTCTGCATGTTTTTTAGTGACCAAGTAGCGAAGACTAGGTTGCATTGCGAACACTGAGAATTTTACCCTATGTTAGCTCAGATTGAACTTTAGCCGAAAGAGCTTTTGATTATGCGTTAATGCAGGAAAAAGCAGCAACTAATAAACAACATTTTTTAAAATACTAATACTTTCGTTTATGGAATTCAGAAGGAACAGATTGGCAAATCCAATAAGGAAAAATAAAAAATAAAAACGTTATACACAAATGTAACCTCACTAAATAATAGGCTTTCTTTATTAGCACAGTTAAACAAAATAAATGTTATAATGGCAACGGAAACGTTTTAAAGATTTACTGCCGCAATTAAAAATGGATAGCTTTAATGTTTTTAGAAAAGACAAATTTACCAACGAGGTAGAGGATTATGAAGAAAAGATTTAAAAAGAGGTGGAGGACTATGTATCTATACACGGAAAGATTTTATAACTTTTGAACTTAAAGGAATTTAAAATCTTTCAAAAAACATACTCTTATATTTACAAAAAACCCTAATTGTGTTTCTGAACTTGCACCCTCCTTTAGGTGAGATTGTTTATGCACATATTGTTTGACAATTAACTATTTTGTAAACGCGAATAACAAAAAAAGTTTATTTTCAAGTTTTTATATAAAAAAGAAAATGTCATAATAATACAGGGACAGATTCAGCATTTTTTGATGTTTGAAATGAAATAAAGAAGCTATAACATACCGTACAAAACCGAAATAAAAATATATCAATTGGAAAGCATTATTGGTGATAGAAATATCAATGAATGTTATGATAAACTTTTAGAAATATATATGATGGACCGAATAAATTTATCCTTCGATCAAAAAAATACAGACAACCTTGACAAGCTTGGATTAAATCAGAACTATAGAAAAGAACCAACGAAAAGTAAATATGATTAAGATTTTTTGCATCATCATCATTAAATAATCACAAATTATTAAAAAAAAATATAGGTTTAATATAATTAAGATTCGATATTTTGTTGATATTTCCTTAAAACAATTTGAACTTGAAAATGGCTGAATGTTCTAAATCCAACCCTAAGAAATCTTGTGCATACGTGAACAGAAAACAAAAATATATGAAGGAGGTCACACTTGAAGGTTTACAAGTGGTGCAATTAGTGATTCTATATGTACTGTAAGGGTTTATCCGTATGTATTCAATATCTGAACAGAAAGTTTTAGCATTGCTATTGAACATATTTTTTATCTCTTAAACCAAGAGAGGTTCCAAAAGCATGGGATGATTCAAACATAGTTCCAAACTTTTAAAGCGGCAATTAGTTTAATCTTTCTAACTAAAGACCTATTTCCCTTTTGCCCCTAATTTGTTAAGTTTTAAAAAGGATTAAAACAAAAATTATTGGAATCTTTTAGATTTATTAAGTATTTGTTAGTTTATCAAAGAAAACTTAAAAATTAAAATAATCAAAATTAAGTTTACGGAAAAAGAGTTCTTCAATGAATATCAATGATATTGTTCGATATAAAATGTATAATATAAATAGTTCTTTAAAAAATATCAATGATATTGGTCCTTTCTATCAAATAGAAGTCAAAGAGTTGATTTTAGAGACATTATTTATGTTTTAAGTGATGAATCCCAAGGCTTAGTTTTGTGATCAGTTTGTTATTTAATTTTTATTCATGGTTTTTCAGATAAACTAAAAAATATATTGAAGTTTTATGCATGAAAACACTTATAATATTGACTAGAGTATGCAATTAAGTATAGAAAAGTTTGTGAATATATATGAGAAAATACTATTTTTAAATATTCACATTATTTAATCATATTCTTGAGAAAACACTATTCAAATATTGGACTGTTTTGAATGAAATTTCCCTTTACAAGCAAAAAGGCTTTTTCATTGAATTTAGCAGCTAAAAACTTTTGAATCATTTGGTTTTTTATTTCAATTATTCTAAGGCTTCACTTTTTTGCAATTTTTTTAGAAAAACAAAAAATTAAAAGTCTTGCATCTTAGCATTTTTCATAATGGCGAAATGAAATTTGTATTTTTGTTTTGAAATTTAGATTTTTTGTGTTCTTGAAGAACTTAATCTCAAAAACTAGTAAAAAGTCACAAATCGAATTGCCTGTTGATCTATACGTGGGTTTGATTTATAGGTAGTGTTGATCTATAGGTGGTGTTGATCTGTATGTTGTGGATAAACATTAAAGAAATGATGATTAGAGAGCTGCATTCAAAAGTTATAAGTTATCAGTGTGAGTCTGTTAATTTAAAAAAAAATCAAGACTTTTTTTAATACAACATTTTTTTAAATTAAAAGTAAGTAGTATGTATGACCACTCCTTTTTGCATTGGTAAATTGTTAAATGAATAGTGCTATCTTATTAATATTTAGAATTCTAAAAAAGTAAATCTCATACCTTTTATATGCGACTATCGCAGAAAAGATTGCATGTTGAGGAATAAGAACGAACATTGAAGGTTTTGTTGTAACCTTTTGAAGTGGCGGGTCTTTGATTATTGATCGAGCTTTTAGTGCATGCGAATTGTTTAATCAAACTTAGGAGTAACTTATATGATAATGCTATTCATATCTTTAGCTGTTTAAAAAGTTATAACAAAAATAATAAACGTGATAAAATTAAAACTAAAATAGGTTTGTTATAGGTTTGATATGAAATGCAAAAAAGAACTTATTTTACAACGTTAACTATGGTTTATTTAATTTAAAAATAAATTTTTTTGTGTAAAATAGTATTTGTTGTTAGTTTTACGGGTCTAAATCATAAAAAACTAGCAAAAAAAGTGAAAGTAAGTATAAATATTTAATTTATTACATTTTTAAATACAAATCCTGTTTGTAGTAAATATATGATAAAAAATATATAACTGTTATTTTTTACTTTAAAGATTCTCCTAGAGTTATTAGATCTCCTAGAGTCTTTCATAGGCCATAGAATTCGGTTTAAAAATTTGTCAAAAAACCTACACAAGTTGCAAAAAAATTATCCAAATTTTTTACACGTACTTTAGAGTTTGTTCGAAAATGCTGCAGTATTTGTAAGTTAGAAAATTTAAGAAAACTTAAGAGTCTTTTTTTAGAAAAGATATATAAATCAAAGTTAAGAAAACAAGATTTATTTAAAATTGGTTTATCATGCAAAGCATGTGTTAAATAAGATAGCAGTTTTTTTTTCTTTTAAAGTTCTTTCAAGCATCAATTGAAGAATGGTGAAAACCAAAAAAATTAATTGTCATTCATATTCCGAAAAGATAGACTCTAAAAATTCCTCTAGACTCTAAATTATCCATAAAATCTTAAATATATTAATTAAATAAACCACTTTTTCATTAAATTTTAAAATACTAATATGTTAATTAAATAATACTAATAAAAAATAATACTAAAAAAAGAAAATATAAAGATAATGCTTTTAAACACTAACTAATAATAAGTAAAAAAAAGTAGCAATTGATCACTCCTTGTTGTATTGGTAATGCTTTTAATAAACAGTGCGATCTTATCAAGTTTTAGATTTCTAAAAAAGTAGATCCTATAGATTTTATATGCATCTATCAAAGGAAAGATTGCATGTTGAGGAATAAAAGTAAATATCAAAGCTTTTGTTTTAACCCTTTGAACTAACAGGAAAAAAAAGTGAAAAGTAAGTATAAATATTCAATTTATTTTTAATACAAATTTCACGCCATTTTTTTCCAACACAAAGGCAAGGTGTTTTATCAAAAAATTATCAGTTTTTCCAGTACAAAAAATGTAAAAAATTATATATCTAATGAACTTCTAAAGTTAAAAAACCCCCTTTTTGTTAAGTTTTTTAAGCTCTTTATAACAATGTTAATCATATAGAAATAGATTGACAAAATAAAATCCTCTGAAATAACTAGAATTGATTAAGTTTCATTTAATTTTGTTGCTAATAGTAAAAGGTTACAAAAATTTGACAAAAGGACAAAAACACCTTCTACTTCAATTTAAAAATGTTTTAGTGGGTCATGCTAAAGACATTAAGGCTTAATTAACAGCTGAATTAAAAGATATAAAAGCTAACAAATTTTCATTTATTTTAACAGTTGTTGAATATGCATCAATTAAAATGTGTCGTTATATGAATATTAATGCGCATACAAGTGGAAGCCTATATAATCTTAGATTGCACGTATTGTTGTGAGTATGCTATCTGAAAAACTGTTGAATAAGTAAAAAGTTGAGTGAATTCAAACTGGAGTTTAATAATGATATTTTTAGTGCAACTGCAGATGGGGCATCAGTTAAGGTTAAATTTGGCCGTTTAATCAATCCACTACATTACATTCGCTATGTCCATGCATTCTATTCAGCAGTAGGAGATGTATTTAATTTGAAACCAATTGAAGTTTTAGACCAAAACGATAACTTTGAAAATATTATTAGTGAGGATGATAAGTGAAGACCTAGACTACATTGCATTTTAAAATAGTTTAGTAGAAGCTGTTGTTATAAAAGATTATTTTTCAATTTTTAAAAAAGTTTGCATAATAATAAAATTGTTTCAAAAATCAACTGTTAAAAATTATGATATATTGCAGAAGTGTAAAATTAGAGTTTGGACATGAATTTAAACTTATTTTAGATTGCAAGACACATTGGAACTCATTATTTGATTTGGTTGAACGCTTTGTCATGTTAAGCAAATGTATTAAAATGGCACACTCCAATAAAAATATAAGATTGAGGGCTGCTAATTCTCAAAAGTTTTTGTAAAGACTTTAAAGCGTGGTAAATTAGGAGACGAAGCACTTTGTCGCAGACACTCAAACTTGCTTACAGCAAAAAAGTTTTTTTTTTGTTTTAAGTCAACTACAAGTATATAAATCTGACATAAGCTAAAACTAATATAATGTTTTAAAAACAAGAATTTTAGGCGATAGAAATCTTAAATTGGTTCACCGCATGGAATATTTAAACAACCCTAGTTTTCCATTGTCTGGTACTGTTGATGCTTTTGGAGTAAAGCCAAAAAAATCAGCAGTTATATCGTTAGCTAAAAATCTACTACTTAGGCTTTTACCTCAAGCTATCAAAGATAGCTTAAGGTAAGAAGCTGACAAAGGAAATTTTGTTGTAAAAACACAGCTAAAAAAAGCTATGCAAAGTGCTGAGCAAAAATGAGAATTTAACAAAGATCTAAGTATAAAATCTCTCAATTAAATGTTTTCTGTCTTCGAGTCAACAAAAAAACGTCCTTTTAATTGGGCTTTTTTATTTCAGCGTTTAAAACAATCCAACCAACATCTGTTGAGAGTGAATGAGATTTTATTGCATGCGAATTGTTTAATGAAACTAAGGAGTACTTTATATGATAATGCTATTGATACCTTTTGCTTTTTAAAAAGTTGATACAAAAATAATAAACGTGAAAAAAAATAAAACTAATTTAAGTTTGTTGATATGAAATGCTAAAAATAATTTATTTCACAAAGTAAACTTTTGTTTACATAATCTAAAATTAAAACTTTCTTGTGTAAACAGTTTTTTTATTTGTTTTTGCATTAAATCCGACTTAGATTACGGGTCCAAATCTTAGAAATCAGGGTAAGATTCGGATCCGGATTTTAACTAAATTGCCAGATCCGTTATGCCTTAAAGATGGATTTTCAAAACTTTGTGAGCTAAAATCTAAGTGGTGTTTTTCTGTGGGTGGTGCTTTTGTTCTGCTTGCAGTATGTATTTTTCAGTATTATAAAAATACAAACACTTTGTTTAGAAAATTCAAAGAATTACAAAAGTCTAAAAGTTATTATTTCGTATCATTGAAAATAGCGATTTTATGCTGCATAGCTGTACAGTAGTTTAAATGGCAGACATTAGTAAAATATTTAATGCTTTAAAATTAAAATTTAACTTATTTTTTGTATGCTTAAATGGCATACAGATTTAAATTAAAAAAAAAAAGTAAAAGTTTTTCTCTATTTAAAAAGTTACGGCTAGGCAAAGTTGAATAAATTGAAAGAAAAACAACACTTTGAATCGAAATAGAGTTTTTGAAAATACTTGGAAAAAAGTGATAAAAAAATAAAAATAATAAACGATAAATGATGTAATACTTGACCAATTATTATTTAACAACAAGAATTAATGAGTCTTCATAGAAATGCTAATTTTTCTGGCGTATAATAACAGTATTTCAGGAAGAAAGTTGGGACCAAAGTTGGGTAGTTTTCATAAAAGTGATATAATATTTGTAAATTAGATAGTTTTTATAAAAGTTATATAATATCTATGAGTTTTTGCACATGATTTTGTTGTAGTTTTTGAACATTTCAGTCATCTTAAAAACCGCTAATGACGTCTTACTAAACTTCAAATGATTTCTTAACTAAAAAAAAACTTTTATTTGCTGCAATGCTTAAGTTGGCCCCATTAGCGATTTTTGAATTAAACGAGTTTTGAAATAGCTATCTTGAGGTTAAAGTTTGAGAATTTAGTTTTAAAAAGTTTACAAATACACCTGTGTTAAAAAAAAATGTTTACAAACAAAAAGATTGTTTAAAATTTTACCAACTAATTCACTTCTGCGCATACATAAGCGTTTAGAACGCTCTTTATCTAAACAGTTTTTTCAAAATAGCCACCCTTTGCTCCGTTTTTCTGCAAGTAATTGGGCAGACTCTAGCGAAAGTATTTTGAAGCAATCTTATCTATTAACCGGTTGATTAACTTTTCTTGATACTTTTTCCATGAAGTATCTGAGACGCCTTTCATTAGCTTCCATTCTTTCTCCATTCCAAGTTTTGAACCGTTGAAAATATTTATTTCTATCAAGACCCAGCTATGAGCAAGAATTTTATTCAACGTTGGAGTTATAATTGTCCAATGAAATTCTCGTAGAAGCAAGATGTTTAGATCCTGACACATTTTTTTGTACTGCTCAGTATTAATTTTTTTGCCAGATGAGATTGCTCTTGAATTAGTGGAAAGAAGCAAGCCATACTTTTAAACTAATTTGCAATCTGTTTGACTTGATATATGATCTGTAATTATAGTTTGCAATTCATTATTATGTAAAAGTTTTCTGGCAACATTTCCAGTTGTTGTGTTCCCCTTTGTCCAGTGGATTCTGGAAAACTCTATTTTATTTCTGTTTTAACTTAATAATTTCTTATAGTTCAATTTTTTTTAAATTAAGATAATTTCTTATAGTTCAATTTTTTTTAAATTAAGAGACCTGCCCGTGACCAACCTTAATAAAATGATCAAAGCTCCTGAGCAAACGATGTAAAACCTAAAAATTTGCTTCTTAAAAAACCTACTAACGAAGATTGAGCACCCAATTTGTAAAATAATTTATATACAGTATTGGACAAAACATTTGCAACCAACATCGGACAATGCTAAAAAGTGTTTCTAATTTTAAATGACTAAAAAAACAAAAGTTTTCTAGAAGAAGCATGCAAAAGCTTCGACCGGCCGGAAAACGCCTTGATTACCGTTACTTTCAGGTACAAAAATATCCTGAAAGATGTTATGATACCTCATGCTGAATGAAATATGCCAATAAAATGGTTTTTTCAGCAAGACAACAATCCGAAACACACTGCA